TTCCTAGACAATAAGCACGCTGTCTGAAATTAACATATTTTGGATAAAAGCCGATTGCGTATTAGAGATGATCATAGGGAGAACCACTTTCAACCTTTCAGCAAAAATTTTTGCTACAATTTTATATAGGCTAGTAAGGAGGTTGATAGGCCTGATATCCGAAAGAGAGGATATAGCAGTTCTCTTAGGGATTAAGGCTATGAAAGTAGCATTAAATCCCTTAAAAAATTCCCCCATCTCCATGAACTCGCTAACCATATCCAACAGTTCTCCCTTAACCAAGTGCCAGAACTGTTGCAAAAAAGAAAGAGGGAAGCCATCAAGGCCTAGGGCTCTATCTCCTGGAAGTTTAAAATTGGCAAGTTTAAGTTCATCCATAGAAACCTCTCTCTCCGAATCTTTAGCAACAGAAGGGGAAAAAGAAAAAAATGCTAAGCCGTCCAGCTTGGGTTTAAAAGGGATTTCAGTTAATAAGGCTTTACGAAAATGAGCAATAATACCCTCCTCCCACCTAGAGTGGTCATCTTCAGCAACACCAGGAATCACCAGACCAGACAAGTCATTTTGTCTCTGACGAGCACTAGCAATGGCATGAAAGAACTTAGTATTGCGATCGCTTTCTTTCAGCCATCTCACCCTGGATCTCTGTTTCCAATACATTTCCTCTACTTTATTCAGAGACTCCAAAGTGAACAACAACATACTTCTCTCCACAATATCAGCCTCAGAAATGAGCCCTATATGTTGGATACTCTGATCCCACCTTTGGATATCATCGAACCATAGCTGATCAATTTTCCTCTTAACCGAAGACCAATTCTCAGCTTTCCAAGCCAACAACTTATGTTTCACAATGAGGAGTTTCTTATGGAGAATGAAGTCCACTAACCCAAAGCTAACAGAATTCACTCAGGTGGATTTAATAAGATCTACAATACCCGGTTCATCCAACCAACAGAGCTCTAAATGGAAAGGATTTTTTCCACTTATACTAAAAGTAGTATTCAGCAAACGAGGGGTGTGATCAGATGAAAGCCTAGGCAGTGCTTTGACAGTAACCAAAAGAAAGGCTTCCATCCAATCCTGAGTCACCAAAAAATGGTCCAACTTAGATATAATCAGATTATGAGCACAACAATTTGACCAAGTAAATTTAGTACCCGTTACAGGTAAGTCAAACAATTGAAAACGCTCAATAAACGAATTAAACATCCGCATCAACGAGTTAATAAGAGGATTGGATGACATCTCATCCAACCAGCGAATGAAATTAAAATCACAACTAAAACAAATGGGCACATCATAAGAAAGCAGCATATCACCCAAATCACTAAGAAAACCTTCTTTAAAAGAATGCACCACAGGGCCATAGACATTGACAATACCCCATTTGAAACCACCACCTGGTCCCTTAAAGAAGATGCCCAAAATTCTATGCCTCTTACCTACATCAAAACAATGAAAAAGAAGTGGATCCCACAAGATCCATAAACCCCCCGAAACCCCTAAAGCATCCACCCCCTCAAAACTAACTGTCCTATTACCCCAAATGTCTCTAACCACAGACAAATATGGAGCAGAAGACTTAATTTCTTGCAAAATAAGAACTTCAGGTCTAAACTTGTGAACCAACAGTTTAGACCAGAGTATGTTGCACAAAAACATGTTTGGCAACTATTTTGGACACAATCGTGTTTCTGTAAGCAAGAAAGGGGGCCAAATCATGGGTACACAAGATCAAAAAAAAAAGTTGGATTATCCAAAGGAAAATTCTCATACAGGTTGGACCGCATAACTACATATAGGGTCAAAAAAGTGTAAAACATCTATCTTAAAGATGAATGCAAGTAGGTGTTCTATCTAAAAACAATAGAAACCAACAGTCCAAATGTTTTCTTAGGGCCTGTTTGGATAGGAAGAAATTAGGAATCCTAGATATTTGAAATCCAAGGAAATCTATGAATTTTCAATATCAAGGATTTTTGTCATGGATTCCTCAAATCTCTTGTTTGGATAAACTATACAAAATTTATGGATTCCTTGCGAGCACTTCCATATCCATTGTTTGGTTATAAAACTTGATACAATTTCTCTCTCTAAAATTTTTATATACTCTCTCTCTCTCAAACCCAAAATTTTACCTATAAAATTTTGAGATAGTTTCTATATCTTAAATTTGATATAGTTTGTCTCTCTAAAATTTAATGTACCTTCTATCCAAAATTTAAAATTTGAAATTGTCTATCTAAAATTTTTTAAATAATTTCTCTCTCTAAAATTTTTAGGTGTTTTACTCTCTATAAAATTTAATATAGTTTCTCTTTCTAAAATTTAAAGATACTCTCTCTCTAAAACTTAAAACTTGAGATAGTTTTCCTCTTCAATAATTTTGAGATAGTTTCTCTCTCTAAACATTTTTAAATAGTTTCTTTCTCTAAAATATGATATAGTTTTTCTCTCAAATTTTAAGATACTTTCTCTTTCTAAAAGCTAACATTTGAGATAATTTCTCTCTAAAAATTTTGCGATAGTTTCTTTTTCTAAAAACGTTTATGTACTTTCTCTCTCTAAAATTTGATATAGTTACTCTCTTAAGTTTTAAGAATCTTTCTCTCTAAAACTTCATGTTTGAGATAGTTTCTCTCTCTAAAATTTTGAAATAGTTTCTCTTTAAAATTTGATATAGTGTCTCTATAAACTTTGATATATTTTCTCTCTCTAAAGTTTAATAATTGTGATACTTTCTCTCTCTAAAACTTAAATTTTGAGATCGTTTATCTCTCTAAATTTTTGAGATAGTTTCTCACTCTAAAAATTTCATATACTTTCTCTATAAACTTTGATATATTTTCTCTCTCTAAAGTTTAATAATTGTGATACTTTCTCTCTCTAAAACTTAAATTTTGAGATCGTTTATCTCTCTAAATTTTTGAGATAGTTTCTCACTCTAAAAATTTCATATACTTTCTCTATTTAGAATTTGATATAGTTTATCTCTCTAAAATTTTAATATACTCTCACTAAAACATAAATTTTACGATAGTTTCTTTCTCCAAAAATTTTGAGATAGTTTCTATCTCTAAAATCTTTTAGGTAGTTTCTCTTTAAGGCATGGATTCTTAATATCTTGGATTTTGTCAAAAATCCACCGTTTGGATTGTTTAATTAGGGTACTTAAAATCTGGAAAATCAAAATCATGGAAATAAGACCTACATTTTCATGATTTAATTTACGCACCATTTTTGCATTTTCAGGGCCCATGGATTCACTTATTAGCTCCCTCGACCCGAAACATAGGGAGCATTTGGTAGGTATGAAAATTTTAGAGAGAGAAAATACCTAAATTTTTTAAAGAGAGAAACTATCTCAAATTTAGAGAGAGAAAATACCTAAATTTTTTTAGAGAGAGAAACTATCTCAAAATTAACTTTTAGAGAGAGAAAGTATGTTAAAATTTTAGAGAGAAAAAGTATGTCAAAATCTTAGAGAGAGAAAATACAAATTTTTTTATAGAGCTAAACTATTTCAAACTTTTAGAGAGATAAACGATCACAAATTTTAAGTTCTAGAGAGAAACTATCATATTTTAGATAGAGAAAGTACATGCAGATTTTTAAAGAGAGAAACAAAGTCAATTTTTTTGAGAGAAACTATTTCAAAATTTTTAGAGAGAAACAATCTCATATTTTAATTTTTTTAGAGAGATTAACTGTATCAAATTTTAGAGAGTACCTAAAATGTTTCAAAAATAAAAACTATCTCAAAAATTTGTAGAGAGAAACTATATAAAATATTAAGTTTTAGAGAGAGAGTATTATTAAAATTGTCGAGAGAGAAAGTATTCTTAAACTTTTAGAAAGAAACTATTATAAATTTTAAAAAGAGAAATGACCAAAAAAACATTTGGAGTATCAAATTTTGAGTTTTAGAGAGAAAATATCTCAAATTTTGAATTTTAGAAAGAAAAAATATATTAAAATTTTAAAAATAGAAATTATATTAAATTTTAAAATCCATGCATCCAAACAGGCCCTTACTATAATTATTATTTATAGTTTTTAAAATTTATTTATTTTTTCATATTCATGATCTCCATGTTAGAGATTACGTGTCCTTAAAAATCAAGTCCAAACATCTCAAAAATAAATTTATTAAGCCCACATTTCTACATATGTGGGCTTGGCCGCATAAAAACTGGGTCCATATCCAAAACATGACTTGGTGCAAGCATGAGAGACAATATAATATAATACAATTTACGATACTACTATCTTTACACATTGAAGCGAAAAGTTTATATGAGGTTGCAACCTTAAAATGTAGAATCACATATACACCTCAAAAATCTATTGGAAAGGCTGTTTTAATGTTGAAAAACCCTCTAATTGATCATCTCGACATCGAAATGTATGAATATTAAAACAAAAACGTTTTTATGTGTCAAAAATAGTGCATCTTGCAACATATTTTCTAGACCGTCCAATTTCAAGATTTTCATATGTTTATAGATCTTCTTGATTTTTACCATTTTTGAAGTTTAAAATTTTCTAATTGGATATGAAAATAGTTTTTTAGACAACTTATGATAAAATTTGAGGGTGCGCCTTAATTGGATTGTTTAAGGTTGCAACCTTATAAAAACCGCACCCCCTTATTAAATACATTAATTCTTAGTATGCAAAAGAATTAACCACTACAAAAGAACTTATAATACATGCCCATAGTCAGCAAACAACCAATCATCCAAAAGCCAGAAAAGTTGACTAAAAACAGTTGTAAATGATCATTTGTTATTCCTTCAACGAGTCCATTCAAATTTTCCGATAAATCATTTCCTCAAGAAATTTGACATAAATCAAAGATCAGAGCTATCAAAATAAAAAGAAAATTCCTACAGTTCAAAAAGCAAGGAAAATATCCACAAAAAACTCTTATCGACTAAAATTTCCACACGTATCACGATAAAGTAACAGAACAGATCGTTATAGAGAGAGTATTATGTCATCAGAACTGTGAATTTTCAATCTTGAATGTAGTAACACACTCTTTCCTCGATCAAATTACAAGGAAAGCAAAATAGACTACGGATCCTTACCTCTCTTTGTTTTGGTTAAGATGCAAATCCTAAACAACGGTTGCTAAAAGAGAATGATATCAAAACAACATTACTACAAAAACTCCATAACTAACAAACCAATCAACACACTGATGGCACCACAAGAAAATACCCATAACTTCGAAGAGGTAACAAATCGTTCCAAACGAGCAACACCGTCCTCAATATTAAAACAGTTGGGAAAAAATGATAGCACACAACCAAACAGACTACCGTCTCTTCTTCAAAATTGGCCGAACAAAAAGAGTAGTGTTGAGGCTGCTACAAGTTGAGGAAAACAAACTCTTCAACAGCAGGTATTTCCCCAATTTTCTTGAGAGTTTCCTTGTTGGGCTCTTCATCCACACCAATGGCCATCACTGCGTGCTTCCTTGGTGCAATCCTTCCCACACTCATGAAGCTCACATTAACATTCTCCTCACCCAAGATGCTCCCCACCCTACCAATCATACCAGGCTGATCAACCTGCCTGCAAAGAATAAGGCTCCCCTCTAAGCTCACATCTACCTCAAACGAACCCACCTTAGTGAGATGTGGGATCCCATCTTTCACCCTCCCTTCCACTTTGATTTCACCAGCCTCCGATATGGCACTAGCAAATTTCGACTCCACATTCGCAATCTGAACTTGGATGAATTCCAAGGGACTCTCAGGAGATCCATCTAATAAGATGCGCTCCTCTGTTATGCGAAGGCCCCTCTGTTTTGCTGTGAAGTCAGCATTCACGAGGTTCACAAACACATTTGAAATTGGTTCGATCAACCCTTTTGTGATCATGGCACGAAGTACTCGGGTGTCGAGATCGTCGGGAGCCCGAGCTGATGCATAGGTCACCTTCACTGATTTCACTCCACTTCCTCCAGCAACTAATTGGACAGCTAGTCTGCCAAGCTTCTCAGCCAGCACAACAAACGGTGCAAGTTCTGATAAAATCTGAGTGACAATAGAGAAATTTTCAGAAGTAATATAAGTTGATATCCATACTTTCCACAAAGTAAAGTGCACAATCATACTTAGTACTTATCCAATCCTATTTGTGAAGAATAAAGATCTCATATGAACACTAAGGAGTTGAAATTCATTGATCTAGATATAGGGTTTCTAATATCTATGATATAGGGTGGTTACTCATAGATGGTATAGCAAGTTCTTTCATATTCTTAGGCACCCTTTGAAGAGATTAACACATCCTGAAATTGAGTAAATATCCACTTTGACACTCAAAGGCATGTTCTGCATTTTTGTAGGTAATCCTTTTCATTGGGATTCATTTGCCAAAACAACTAATGATATTTATAAGATATACGATATATTCAATGTTCAAAAAGCGGTTTTATTCAATGTTCAAAAAGCGGTTTGGTCTCTGGGCCGCCTAGGTAGGCGCCCAGACCCAAAGGCGGCCTACGATGTCTTTTTTTTAAAGTTGGATCCCCCACAGCTCCCACCATTTTACTGTATACACTATAATAAGAATTAATACTATTTTTTTGGTTTATCAATAAATTAATAATTTCTACCGCATGCAAAATGCATTTTCAATAAATTAATAATAACAAATTAATAAAAAATTTTGGTTTACCAATAAATTAATAATTATTGTTACATGCAAAGCGGCAAGTGACATAAAAAGTCTAATCCTTCCATATATTAATTAAAACTTAAGTAATACTATGTTTTGGTTTATCAATAAATTAATAATTAAGAGTTAATATTATTTTTTGGTTTACCAATAAATTAATACTTACTATCACATGCAAAAAATATTTTTGATAAATTAATAATTACGAATTAATATTATCTTTTGGTTTACCAATAAATTAATAATTATTATTATATGTAAAAAGCGTTTTCAACAAGTGGCATAAAAAGTTTAATCCTTCCATATAATAATTAACACTGAATTAATACTATTTTTTTACCAATAAATCAATTATTTCAAATGAATATTATTTTTTGGTTTACCAATAAATTAATAATTATTGTTACACGCAAAAAGTATTTTTGATAAATTAATAATTAATAATTACAAATTAAAACTAATTCTTTGGTCTACCAATAAATTAATAATTACTATTACATGCAAAAACATTTTCAATAAATTAATGATTACGAATTAATATTATTTTTTGGTTGACCAATAATTAATAATTATTGTTACATGCAAAGTACCGCAATTTATTTTTCACATGAAAAACACCTCAGTTTATTTTTATTAGCAAAAAGTACCGCAAATCATTTTTTTACCAAAAAATACCTCATTATTTACCTTTACCTCATTTCATTTTTTATTACCGAAAAGTACCTCAATTTTTATTTTTCATGCGAAAAATACCTCAGTTAATTTTTATTAGCAAAACCTACCTCAATTGATTTTTTTACCAAAAAATACCTCAAATTATTTTTCCTTACCTCTTTTTATTTTTTAGAACCGAAAAGTACCTCAATTTATTTTTCAGACGAAAAAAATACCCCAGTTTATTTTTATTTGCAAAAAGTACCTCAATTTACTTTTTTACCAAAAATACCAATAAGTTAATAATTACTATCACATGCAAAAAATATTTTTGATAAATTAATAATTACGAATTAATATTATTTTTTGGTTTACCAATAATTAATAATTACTGTTGCATGCAAAACGACAAGTGGCATAAAATGTCTAAACCTTCTATATATTAATTAAAGGGAAAATATTATATAGAGTTGAGGCTCTAAACAATCAAATTTGAGCCTATCTCAAAAATTTCACTAGAAGAGATTGTTTTGATGCCCAAATATCTTCAAATTGGTCATTTCGACATCAAGATACATGGACATGAGAAAAAAAAACGGATTTCAAGTTTTGGAAATAGTATATTTTGTAACACATTTTTGGACCGTCAATTTTCAAGATTTTCAATTTTTCATAGATCTGTCGATCTACATTATTTTTGAAGCTTTAAACTTTATAAATAAATATGAAAATATATTTTAAGGCTATCACAAAGGTTTCCAATAGAGAAACCACATTTCTCGACACTATTTGAAGGTGGGCTCTAATTTGATTGTTTAGAGCCTAGGCTCAATACAAACCGCACCCTGAATTAAAACTGAATTGATAGTATATTTTGGTTTACCAATATATTAATAATTATGAATTAATACTATTTTTTTAGTGCAGGTCAAGGCGGCGCAAACAGGCGCTTAGAAAAAGCCAGCCTAGGACAAGACGCCTAGTCCACGACTAGGCGTTTTTCAAAAAATGCCGCCTTGGTTGTCATCTTGCCAGCAGCCTAGGCGGCTAGGCGGTCGAATATTCATTCATTGCATATATAGAACTGTAATATACAACAATGCCTTAAAAGCCAGCCTGCCTTGGCACCTAGAAGCAGGCTAAGGCCCTAGGCACCTCACCATGTTGAGGCGCCCTGACATGGATGAGGAACCTTGAGCCACCCATCTAGGTGGTCTGGGCGCCTTGGCTCAAGGTGGGCGAAACCTGCCCAAGGGAGGAAATAGACACTCAACGTGGAGTTTTTCCAACTTCGAGAAGGGCCAAAAAACATCATTCCCTCCCGACTCCAACCACCCCAATCAAAACAACAAAAAAAAAATAAGAATAAAAAATTTCCCAAAAATAAAAATAAAATATAAAAAGAAAGGTGGGGAGGAGAAAGAGGGGGCAACGGTTTTGGGGGGTATTACAACCCCACAAAACCCTTAAAGAATGTATAGAGAGAGAGAGAGAAAGAGAGAGGGAAGAAAACCCCATAAAAACAAATAGTTAAAATCCTTTTCTTTCTTTTTTTTGGTCAAGCTTGGAATTTTTTTGGGTTCTTTCATAATCTTGTAAAACCATAAAGGATAGAAATCATTTGGATGTGAATGTACCAGGTTTTAGAGGTGTTTTCATAACCAAAGCCCTCCAATTCGAGCCTCCTCTCGTTAGGTTCCTGATAGTCAATTTATTTCAATTTTGGGTTCGTGTTTGTTGATACCTTTCAATATTGGGTTGTGTTTTTTTTCTTTTTTTTAATTGGTATTTGTTTTCTTCTTCTTTTTTCCCCAAGCTCAGGTTTAGGTTTCTTGGCTTTTATCAAGGTTGGGTTTGAGCTGTTTCGCTGACCTTTTTTCAATATTAGTTCTTGGTTTTATGATTTCTTCCAATCCGATATTAGGACCTTCTGGTTCTAAATTTTTTGTTCTATGCGTTTGGTTTCTTGATGACTATTTCCAAGATTTTCGATTTAGTGACCTTTTTCAATATTGCATTTTAGTTTTCTACATCTTTTTGAGTTTTGGCTTGGGCTTGTTGGCCTTTTCCAAATATGGTGTTTTGAGTTCTGAAAATTTTTTCTGGTATGGGTTTGGATTTCTTGATGACTTTTGTCAATATTGGATTTTTGTTTATGTGTATTTCTTTTAAGTTTTGGATAAGGTTTGTCGGCTTTTTTCAAGATTGGGCTTTGGTTTTCCATATATTTTCAGGTTTTGGTTCGGCTTTGTTGACTATTCAATATAAGATTACAGTTTTTTTATTCATTTTATGTTTGGGTTTTGTTTTTGTGAAAAAAAAAAAATTTCGAAATTTGTTTACTTCAAGATTGGGTTTTGATCTGTTGCATCATATATTAATGATTGAGTTTTGGTTTTGTTAATTTTCCAGGTTTGGATGTTAGATTTCTGCTCTATGAGACTAGGGACAATGTCATCTTCTATCCGAAATAAACAAAATGATCCAGTATGCCAATACATGGCCCAATGGAAATACATTGCTTACAATGCCACTTGCTTGAAGAGCTTAAGCCATGTCGAGAGTGGTGGGACATTTTGGGCCTGAGTTGAAGGCCCCTACACCATATGAACACTTGGAACTTGCTTAAGAAAGAGGTGGAGGTCATGAATGAGTATTTGAAGACCCATCAGGATGCATGGGGGAAGTAAGGATTGTCATGATGACTGATTCATGGACCAATACAAAGGGGGAGAAGTATTAGGAACTTTTTGGTGACACGTCTAATGAGAACAATGTTTTTGAAACTCCATTGATGCATCCAAGAAAACACAGAACACAGAGTTCATGTTCAGCATAGTGAACCAACGTATAGAGGTGGGCGAGTAGGACATCATCCAGGTGGTCACAGCATAACTGCAGCAAAATATGTCAGTGCCACTATTGCGGGAGCAGAGGCCACATATTTTTTGGACACCATGTAGTGCCTGGCATCGACCTCATGCTTAGGTGAATACTAAATTGAAATTTGTGAGTAAGACAATAAAGAAAGCAAACACCATAATTGTTTTCATATATAACCACACAAAAGTCCTTGTCATGATGTGGCTGCTCACAAACAAGAGGCAGTTTGTGAGGCCACAGGTGACAAGGTTTACCACTTTTTACTTTACCCTTCAGTCTATCTTTGCCAAAAAGACAAGCTCAGGGTCATGCTTGTCACTGAAAAATGGGCCAAGAGCAAGTTCGACAAGCATGCAAAGGGGAAGAGGCTCCCCAATATTGTCCGGCAACCCCAATTAGGGAATGGCTTGGCCTAATCCTTCCAAGCATTTAATCCTTCGATGAAGTCGTTGTACAGAAAAAAAACAACCATAGGTCACATGTACAAGGTGATGGAGGTTCCCGAGGAAAAGAGATAGAGGAACTTCAGGTATGATGTGAAAAAGTATTCATCAATTGAAAGACTGCATATGAAAAGCAGGACAGCCGACTGCATAGGCCCTTGCATGCAGCAGATATTTTCAAAACCCAAAATATTTTATACAACTAATGAAATTGATCTCAAGGGCTAGATCATGGATGGAGTTAACATGTGCAACATTACACTCAATCCCATCGTGAACCTTCAAGACCTCACGATAATACTGTTCATTATGTACAAGTTCTTGATGGAATGGAGTCACATGGTAATTGGGATAGAAATAACAATAAAAACGAG